GAGAAAAAAACTCAAAAAAAAAAAAAAAAAAAAAAACCAGAAAAAGAAAAAGGAAAAAGCTTGTTGCAAATCTAATCTCACTCTCTCTCTCTTTTTTTTTTTCAGAGGTTTTTGTTATAGGGTGCGTGTGCTCACCAGAAAGATAGAGAGACAGAAAGCAAGAAATCACCCCCCAGGGGGATGGCCATGCCGCAATCCCTTCTCCTCGATTCTTCTTCTGGGATCTTGGGCACGCACGCACATGTGCCAGCCTGAGTTTAAGCCACTGGGTCCAGGACTCGAACCACCATCAACTACATGGGAGTCCAATGACCTAGCCATTACACCATCTGCTGATCCCTTCTCTCTCTCCTTATTTTAATTTGCTACAGGGCATGTGTCCTCACCAGAGAGAGACAGAACAAGAGAGGGAAAGTGAGAAAGCAAGCCACCAGGTCCAGGATTTGAATAATGGTCAGCATGTGGGAGTCTAGCACCTTAACCACCATGCCACCTGCTAGCCCCAAATCTAATATATATCTCCAAAAAAAAAAAAAAAGATGGGCTGATAGGAGGCATGGTGTTTAGAGGTGCTGGATTCCCACATGGGCGACCACGGTTCAAGTCCCAGGCCTAGCAGCTTGCTTTCTCACTTTCTGTTTCTCTCTCTCTCTCTGTCTCTGGTCAAATTAAAAAATAGTAACAACAAATGGAATTAAATAGAGACCAGTAGGTGATGCAGTGGTTAAGAGCACTGGACTCCCACATGGCCAACCAGGTCTGGACCTGGCGGCTTGCTTTCTGACTTTCCTTCTCTCTTTTTCTCACTCTGTACCTCTCTGTTCAAATTAAAATAAATAAACAAATAAAGTTTAATAAAATTAATTTTTAAAAAATTAGTAAAGAATGAATGTTTGCTGAGTAGCTACTATATGATTACAGAGTCTTTCATTTAGTGATGAAAAAACTGTTGCACAATGAGGTTGTATGACTTATCCAGAAAAGCCTAAAGGTTGAATAATAAAACTGAAATATGACTTCTAATTTGTATTTTATAAATTAAAAAAATTTTTAATTAAAAAATGGAATGAAATAGGGGACAATAGTTAGCATAATGGCTAT